GGCAAAAAAATCCCCAAGTTGCGTTGGCATTTTAGGGGCCTACAGTTCAAATAAGTAGGCTGCTTCCCTCATCATGTAATGTAAGGCAGACCAAAAAAAAAAAGAGAGAGAGAGAAAGAAAGAAATCAAAGCAAACATCTTCCACTTTTCCTCTCAATTTCTAACGGCTGTTAACTGCCCCTGAGCAAATCAGCTTGACTGCTAAAGTAGCCACAAATTATGCTTGCTTTCTTAGTTAAAGTACAGTTCAATTTTCATGAACTCTGTGTACATATTAGTAAAGCATAATCTAATATAATGGGGTTTGAATTGTAATAGCATAGCAGAAAAAAAGGGAGATAGCTTTTATAATCCTAAATAAAAGGAAATAATGAAGAACTGATAGCTGTTTCCAGTGGGGATATAGGTAACTCCTTGGCAATTAGAATAGGTACGATATTACCTGGTATGTATAATAACAATTGCAGAAGTGGTAATAACAAGCCTGATGCTGGAAGTTAATATTTGCGAGCAATACCCATTAAATAAATATTACATAACTTATTTAATGCTGGCAAGTCTTAATGAAAATAAAAGAGCAAGAAGTGTGCTTGAACATGATTGTGAAATAAATTTTCTTACTGTCTTGAGAGGCTCACAAACACGGGCTCTTTTAATGAGAAGTGTCTATAAAAATCTATCTGAAGGAAAAAAAAAAAACCCATGTAGTCCTATGCGACGAATTCATATATTTCTACTTTTTCTTAATTACTGATCGTGTGTGTGTGTGGGGGGGGACTCTTTTTTAATACCCCATGCTGTCTTTCTTTATATCAATTGTTACTCAGCCGGGAAAAAGGAATGAGCACAACAAACCCATTTTCTATCTGAATAAGGATACTTCTGATGGCCTTTTCATTCCCATCAGTTAACAGAACTTCTTTGACATCTGCAGAAATAGCAACCTGAAAAAAAAAAAAAAAAAGAAGAAGAAGAAGAAAGAAAAAAAAGGAGCACAGCAAACAATGAGCAAATATGCTTGTCTGTGTGGAAGTGAAGACAGGAGTGACAACCCTTCAGTATCATGCTTCCTCACCTATTTCTCTGTAACAATCTTCAATCTTTTTTCATTTTATGTCTGCATTATTTTAATCATTCAATCAAATCAGTCAATACTTTTATCATTCCATTTGCGGGAGCCTCTATCTTGCTATCATTCTGTTCGGTAATTGCATTGTGACAGCGGATGATGGTATTCTGAGAGGCTTTCATTTGTGGGCTTCTGTTTATCTAGTAGAGCCATCATACAAGGCTGTCACTCTGCCTTTCAGCCTGCTTCTGTCTGACTGCCTGATGCCCTTCATATAACTTTGCATTGCAGGCAGATGGCTTTGTGAGGGTAATTTTTTTGTGAGCTTTGACATGCTCGCACATTGGGCTGTAACCTCGACACATTGTATAAGAGCGACAGGTTTGTCAAATGCCAATCAGTGTAACAATATGCTTTTATTTGTAGAGACATAAAAACTTGTCTAATGCACTGTGCTGCTACATAATATCTCCTGAATACATGACTCAGAACCCAGAGAATGGGGAACGACGTTCCTGAATGGCCAATCTAATTCAAAAGAATCTAATTACTGAGCGCTCTGGATCATGTTTGTTGGTGTAATAATGCAGGCAAAACATTAGCAGCTATATCATGGTGCTCCAACTGTGATTCGCCGGGCTATTCCTGTATCTTAGCAAATGGGACTATAATCTGAAAAAAAAAAAATGCTTTCGCTATGGCAAAGAAAGACTGTGCGAGGCCTGGAATGTCACAACAAGCGATATTGACTACACTGGGGTAAAATGTTTCTGCTCATCGAGGCAACCATAAAATCAATATGATCCGAAAGTAAGTCAATCTAGAAGGTCTCTCAAGACCCGGCAGCTTGACCGCAGCTGATGCTGTTGACGGTTCTCTGACCCAGCAGTTGGAGGCCCTGGAACATTTTTCCTTTTGTTCCTCCCTCTGAATGGGATTGGAATTGAGAAAAGACCTACCATGAGCCCAGCCAAGCATGTCATGCCACCCCCTAGCTCACACACAGCAAGGTCCCTGAAAGAGAGAAAAGAAATGGTAGAACCCATACAAATTAGATGAAAATGGTCAGAGAGATATATATGTTACAAGAACAAATTGCCATCTGCAGTAAGAACGGCGCTACCAGGAAGTTGTGGAGACATGACTAGGCTACCTCATGTCGTTTTGCGTTTTAAAAATAATTATGAAATAGAAAAGTCACAAAGCAGGCAAATCAGTGGGGGTTCCCTCATTAGTGTTCACTGCAACATTACCACCGCTGAGCTGAAAAATCTGAGAAGGTTCCCTTTTTTTCCCTTGTCAATGGCGCTGTCTTTTAGAACTAAACTAGCTAGAGTAACGAAAGATAATTGTTAGGAAAGGATAACACTGTTAATCCACATTCATGCCTTCAAAAACAGTTAGACAAGTAAATGAAGAATATATGTGAGTGTGTATATACCTATATTATAGTCACATACAACACACACAAATAGATGCAATCCTGAATTTAAAAAAAAAAAAATCTCAAACAAACATAGATTTTGGAAAGCTGAGCCACCCCCATAAAGCACAATTACACAAAGAGCATTTAGCAATTAACACTTAAATCACAATTGACCCCAACACAACACAGCGAATAAACAATGCAGGGACATAATACGGTTAAGCCACAGACCCAGACTGAAGTAATGACTGGGCTCTGGCTTCACCGCTCCAAAGTAAAGCGGCTCAGAGTTAAAGCTCACAGTCTAGTGTGCCATTCTGCACTTACCTTCCCCTTTGTGCCTAAATATCAGCCCTCAACGTGTGACATTCTCGCCCTGGCCCACTGCTCGCTGATTGGAGCTCCAGTCAAGCTTAAGCACAGCGAGATGAGCAAATGCCAGACTTCCAGGGCAGCTCTGCAGCCCAAATTCAAAATTGCCCTGTTCTTATTTTATATGCTTAGATCCCTAAGATTGTTTCTTCTTCCCAGTTCGGGAAGTTTATTACCTCAAGAGGAGAAAAAAAGCAAAATTAAAAGGGAGTGGGGGAGAGAAAAGGGAGAAGAAGCCAAAAGAGGATATTCATATCTGGAAATGCACTCAATGAGCATTTAGTTTGTTCAAAGTAATTATAGACTGGTTGGTAAATATGGACCCTTCAAGCATCAAAAAATACATATTACTGACCCAATCTTGTAAGTATATATTGTTAAAACACACACCGTGATCACTAATGGCTTGTCGGGAATCATAATGGGCTGGTTCAGGAAGTATATATTGGATGACTTTTATAAAATAAAATAAGAATTAAAACGAGAAACCTATATTTTCTGGGTCTACCAAACATCTTTAGAATTTTTAAATAAAAGGAATTTTTTTTTCTTTTTCCTAAATCCCACGCACAGGTTGATCTATAATGCATAACACTTGAAAACACTTATTTCTGTAGCATGAATCTGTAATAGTAATTTATATTTCACAAATACATATTGTCAAGCACATAAAAATACCTTTAAAACTAGGGGTGGGATGGCATCTTTAAATAATAGCCATGAGGTATTATTTATCAAATATTCTGTAGAGGCTTCCCCAGCAGAAGTTTAAAGAATGTTTTTATTGTGGGTTTTTGTTGTTGTTGTTGTTGTTATTTCTTTTCAACCTTCACAATCAGTAAGGATTGATTGGAGCTTCACTTTTGTTTCCCCCAAATCAAAGTGAAATAAAATGCCTTCAGTGGAAATCAAAAGCCTTTGACATATAGCAAAAAGCTTGCTGTGCAGTATTAGTACCCAAAGGCAATGCAGATTTCTTTTCAGAAGCAACATGTGTTCCTGGTGAACTTTTTTTTTTCCTTTTTCTTGGTTTCTAACAATTTAATTGGAAGACTGTAAACAAGGCTGTTTTCAATGTGCAGATTCACTAAACATGATGGGCTAAACATGGATCTTGTAAGTGAAGCTCGGTACCTGAAAACCTCCCTGTGCTTGAGGCAGTAGTAAGCCAGGACCTCCTCCGACGGCCAGACACCTAGAAGACACGAAAGGGTAGATGTGTGATTTATGGGAGTCAATCCATCATGAAATGGCTTTTAAAAATTAGGCTCAGCACAAACTATCTCAATCCAAATCAAGCTTAACATAGTTACTGCCTATCACGTGTCACGCCCTATGAGTTTCTTTCATTGTTGTTGCTTTTATAACGGTGAGATTTATATCCCTTTTCCCCAGGGTAACAGTTAAACATCTTCATGAAGTTTACTAAATTTCAATCACAAGAGAATAACTAAGACAATAACAACCAAAATTATAGATGTCAAAAATTAAAATCTGATGGTATTTCAAGTAAATCTTAATGTTGTACACATAAAATTAAGAAGCATACGTTGAAGGCATACTCTATATGCAGCCTCTGCAGGTAAAAAAAAAAAAATGGAGAAATCACTCTCAGGGGCAAATATATCCACTGAGACCATCATATCTTTTCATATTAATGTTTTAAAATATTTACAATTATTTTCTTTTTTTTTAAATCAAATTGGAGTACAAAATTAAGAAATTTTAATTTCTCCAGCTTTGGCATATTTTTAAATTTAACAATACACCTATGTACCAAATTGCATGAATGAGCATTTTCTAAAATTATCACCTATAAATTTATTTAGAAGGTTTAGATTTCATGAACAGATATGAACACCTTAAAGAAATGTGTGTATGGAAATGACAGTTACTAGTGGTTATCATGGGAGCGTAGGGCCATAATACTTTTATATTTTTCCTCTATACTTTTTTATACTTTCTAAAATTTTTAAGTAAGCATATACTATTCCAATAATTAGAATAAACTGTAGTCTTATAAAAATTATATGTTTTTCCCAAATGATTGGACTCAGGCATGGCTCTGTCTCAGCACTAAGCACTCTGTTGTCAGGTCTTGATGCAAAGTTGAAATATATCTTTAAAAAAAAAAAAGCCTGCTCCCACCCCCAGCCAAGATGAATCTCCAACTTCTGGGAATAAGTGATCCAACCATTTCAGAGAAGAGAATGTCAAGGAAACAGTAAATAACCTATGAGATTCAATGGGTAAATACATGAACAGTAAAGAGTAGTTGCATAGAGCATTTGCTGCAGGAAAGCCTAGGCAGATATACCCTATCTCAGCCTCTTGGGCATCTATGGTAGGAGTGAGAGTCTGGGAGAAAAACAAGCAAGAAAGTATTTGGAATCATATTTAGGAGGAAAGTCAGAGAGGCAGTGGAATACAGAAGCAAAGATCACAGGTGCTTTGGGACCAGAATTATTGGACTTCAGTCCCTGAATTGCCATTCCTCAGCTGAGAAACTTTGGACAGGTTATTTAACTTCTCTGTGCCTCAGGCTCCTCATCTGTAAAATATTATAATTGCAGTATCAACCTCATAGAATTATTGAGAGGATTAGTGAATGAGATGTAGGCAATACATCTAGAGAACTTCCTTAACTTATAAAGTAATAAGTGAAACAATTATTCCAATAACCAGAATATGGAGAAAGATTTGTACCTGTTCCTATCCTTGAGCTCTGACATGACCCTAAAGTCCTATATTTGGCATAACTCCACATAAAAAGAACTTCACAGAGACCGAAGTACATAATAAAATTCTCTGAAGGAAGAGCCCAAGACAGTGTTCTACACTAAGTGGATATAATTACCACAAGAATGAATTTCTTTATGCCTTTAGTAGACGGCTGTGAGGTTCAAAAAATAATGATAGGGGAAAGGTATTTAACTAAATTTTAAGCCTTGATTAAATATAAAAATGGGACTTAAATGCATAGTCTTTTAAAATAGTTTTATGATTTTCTAAAAAAATTATACAGACTGATTTTTAACTAAATTAAATACAAAAAAAAATACAAAGGAGAAAGTTTGAAAAAAAAAAGATTAGGTAAAATTTCACTACCAGGAATATAATCACTTTTAACATTTTGGACATCATTCCAAAAAATCTTTCTAAGGGTATTTTACACAATGAGACCTTCTCATGAAGGTATTCAATAGTCTGATTTTGCCCTGCTTGACATGTGGTAGAAAGCTTCCCATGATAATAAAAATATACCTTACTTATACCATTATTTGCAATGATTGCCTAGACATTCTATGTGTGCATCAGAATTCACTTAACCTGTTTCTTCTGGGTAGATATTTATATTAGTTTCAAAGTTTTTGATATTATAATGTTATAAATAGTAGTACAATTAAGAACACAACTTTCCCAACATCTGATTTTTTCCTTAGGTCATACCTAGGAATGGGAAATCTGGTCCAACATCAAGTACATTTCACATTCTGATAAACTGGTTGAGAATTCCTAACCTAGAACCTAAAATCCAAAATACTCCCAAATCTGAAACTTTCTGAGTGCCAACATGATGGGAAATCCCATACCTGCCTTCATGTGATAAGTTGTAGTTAAAATTCAGGCATACTGAAAATATTATAGAAAATTACCTTCAGGCTACATATATGTTATATATGAAACATTAATGAATTTTCTGTTTAGATTTGAGTCCCAGCCCTAAGAGAGCTCAGGAGGTATATGTAAATATTACAAAATAAAAAAACCTGAAATCTAAAATGCTTTTGGTCCTCAGCACTTAGGATAAGAGAAATACAACCTATACCTAATTGTCCTTTGTGAAAACTTGTATCAACCTACACCCTCAATAAGAATGTTTGTTACTTGCTAAGATAGGATTTTATCAATCTATTTTGTTTTTACTATCTGTTATGTTTTCATGAATTATATCACTGCCAATCAAAGTTGAAATGAGTTACTACTTCACACCCACTAGGACAGCCATCATATAAAGGTCAGAAAATAACAAATGTTGGTGAGGATGTAGTGGAACTTTCCTGCGCTGTTGGTTGGAATGTAAAATGAGGCACCTACTTTGGAAAACTGTCTAGCCATTCCTCAAAAAGTTAAATTTAGATTACCACATGACCCAGCAACTCAACTCTTAGGCCTATAACCAAGAAAACGGAAATCATGTCCATACAAAAATATATTCAAAATGTTCATAGTAGCATTATTTCTAATAGCCAAAATGCAGAAACAACTGAAATGTCCACCAACTGATAAATGATAAATAAAATGTGGTCTGTCATGCAATAAACTATTATTTGACAATAAAAACAAATAAAGTACTGACACATATGACAACATGGATAGAACCTGAAAACATACTAAATCAAAGAAGCTGGTTACAAAGCACCATGTTGTGCGTTTCCATTTCTCTGAAATTCAGAGAAAAGTGAAGAATAGGCATATCCATAATGACAGAATGTAGTATGATCATTGCCAAAGGCCAGGATGGGTTAGGTGTAAATGCGATATGACTGTTTAAATGCGATATGAAATTCCTTTTGGAGGTGATGAAATGTTCTAAAATTGATCATGATGATGGTTGCACAGCTCTGGGAATATACTAAAACCATTGGGTGAACTGTATGGTATGTGAATTACACCTCAATAAAGCTGTTATTTTTTAACAAGAGTTCTTTTTCTTATATGTGGAAATAAAATGACCTTTAAAAAAGATTGTACTTTCAAGACGTTCCACAAACACAGTTTAAAGAGCACAGAGGTCTATTAGAATGATGAAAACAAATAATAGTACCCAAAGCCACTCTCCAATTTTCCTTCTTTTCCAGAAACTACTACATTCAACATTTTTAGCTGGCAGATTCTTCTAGTAATTACTTCCATATTTCTATATGTTTGTTTTGCTTATTCTTGATCTTTCCATTTTAGGCAAAAATCTATTGACACCCTTCCCCCCCCCACAAAAGGAAGCCGAACACTCTTTGCCTTTATCTCTACTCCCCTCTCCACATCAATTAATGCTTCCTATTCACCCCTCACCATCTGCTTAATGTTGCAGTACAATATTATAGTTCTAGTTCTCTCTCTCTCTCTCTCTCTCTCTCTCTCTCTCTCTCTCTCCTCTGTGTTATAATTTTGGTAAGATCACTTCTCATTGTTGATTTTATTATGACCATGAAGTAAAGCTGACTTATGCAATAAATTATGATTACTTTTCCTCCATGTGTACATTTTTGTTTTCTCTGGAGTTTATAATTGTCTTTTTTTTTTCCTCCGACTTCAAACTCCCGTTGTGAAATTCTCAATACATTCATTCTTATCATGTATTCTACTAACTCCATGAGCAAGTCTCTCCTGGTACCTTGTGGCCTGCTTCAGTCTAAACTGGCTGCCCTCTCTGCTTGGTGCGTAGCAGCTCACCTAGAATCAATTTTCATTATCACCCCAGGGTTTCCTCTGCCCTTCTCTGTGTTGCATCTCTTTGTTTCCTCTGTTCTTTGTTCCGAGCTGTCTTGGTTTATTCCTTCATTCCGGTGTAATATACCCTTTTATAGTTTCTTGAAAAAAAGAGTGTATGGGAGGCAAATGTTTGAGAATCTGTTTGATTCCATGATTAATTTTAATCTAGAAAACTCTGTGTTTTCAGCACTTGGAAAGTTTCTTGCAAAGTTCCGTTGATTATTTCTTTACTTCCACTCTTCTCTTGAATTCTTATTATTTGGATGCTTGAACTCCTAATTTTTTTCCTTCTTTCCAATTTTTTTTAACCATTTTTTACTTTCTTAGAAATTTCTTCAACTTAATCTTCTAATCTTTTTACTGTTCCTTTTTGCTGCTATTGTTGATAGTGGTTCTCTGAATACTTCTTTTATGGAGCATCCTGTTCCTATTGCATGAATGCCACATCTTTTCTTAATTATTTGAAATATTAATTGTAGTTTATTTTATCTTTTCTTATATTTATATAGCCTATTTTATTCAAGATGTTTCTTTTTTTCTGTTATCAACTGGCATTTGTCACATCAAAAGCTTTACAAAAGTTATCTGGAAATTCTTTGTTGTCTCATTAAACAGAAGAGTAGGAAGACTAAAAGCTGATTGGAGGTAAAGAAGATTGACAGTGGGTGGGGTGGAGTTAAAGTGCTCATCATTCAGTCTGCA